ACAAAGAAAACCCTCCAAAAATTAAATGAATCAAAGAGCTGGTTCTTTGAAAGAATAAATAAAATTGATAAACCCCTAGCCAACCTTATCAGGACAAGCAAGGAAAGAACTCCAATTCATGCAATAAGGAATCAAAACAATGAAATTACCAGAGATTTCAGAGAAATTCAGAAGATCATTAGCACGTACCTTGAACATCTTTATTCCCAAAGGATGGAAAACTCAGCAGAAATGGACAGATTCGTACATGTGTATGAATTACAAAGGTTTAGTCACGAAGATATCAAGTTCCTGAACAGCTCAATATCATTTAATGAGATTGACAGAGTGATTAAGAATCTACCAACAAAGAAAAGCCAATCTACCCTGGTGGATTCATAGCAGAATTTTACAAGAAATTCAGAGAACATTTAATACCAACACTCCTCAAACTCTTCCATGAAATTGAAAAGGAAGCAAGTCTCCCTAACTCATTTCTGAAGGCAAGCATCATACTGATACCAAAACCGGAGAAAGACCCAACCAAGAAAGAGAACTACAGACCAATCTCCTTAATGAATATAGATGCAAAGATACTCAATAAGATACTAGCAAATAGAATGCAGCACATTATCAAGAAAATCATACATCACGACCAAGTCAGATTCTTTCCAGAAATGCAAGGTTGGTCCAATATTCACAAATCTATAAATGTTACACACCATATCCATGCAGCCAAAGACAAAAACCACATGATCATCTCAATAGATGCAGAAAAAGTTTTCAACAAGGTCCAGTATGTGTTTATGATAAAAACTACAGAAAATAAGAATAGATGGTCTGTACCTTAACCTGATCAAAGCCATCTATGACAATGCAAGGGCTAAATTATTCTCAATGGACAAAAACTAAAAGGTTTTACTTTAAAATCGGGAACAAGACAAGGATTTCCGCTGTCACCACTCCTGTTCAATATAGTTCTGGAACCACTAGGCAGAGCAATAAGACAGGAGAGAAATAAAAGGTATAAAGATAGGAAAGGAAGAAGTAAAACTATCTCTATTTGCAGATGACATGATACTTTTCATGGAAGACCCCAAAGCCTTCACAAAAGACTCCTTGAACTTATCAACAAATTCAGCAGTGTAGCTGGATACAAAGTCAACACCCAGAGATAGGTGGCATTACTATATAAAAACAGCAAACAGAGAGAGAAATTAATAAAACCATACCTTTCATAATATCATTCAAGAAA